CATAAATCAAAAGAGGGACATGTTGCAGATCAGCAGGGGTGGGCTTTGAGTGGGTGAGAGCGCATTTGCTGGCTGTAGCTGTGGCTGTAGCTGTGGCTGTAGCTGTAGCTGTGTCTGTGGCTGTGTAGATGTTTATATTTATGCGCATATGTGTTAATTTTATTACTTTACAAACACTGCATGCGAATATATGGAATACATGGCGTATGCGCGATATTAATTTGCCATAATCGCGACTCGTTTATTAGCGCAAATAAATTGAAATTGTTTTTGGTTTGGCATTGTTGCAACGTGCGCCCATGAATTATGTCGTAACGTGGTTATGTCTCAGATGCCGCCGCTCTCCCATCATCAATGCCATTAGTTAAATCTGCTCCAATATTATTAAAACCCCGAATGGCATTTTTTGTGCAATTTGGCGAAAAAAAAAAAAACAAAAACAAAATAATAATAATAAAATACAAATACCATAAAGAATGTAAAATGCAGATACCCTAAAGTGCCTTGCATGTGCTATAATACGAGTACTGCAATACATGTTATGGCTAAGATCAGAATATTAATTCATGATTGTTTATGCATCTGAACAAGTATTGATCCTGAGCAAGGATATATACTTTATGCTTGCTTCTGCCTGTTACATACTTCAACAATTCATTTATTTTGGTAACTCAAAACTGTGAAAAAGAATTTAGCCTTAAAATTATGGGAAATATATGATTTTTCCGATTTTCTGCTATCGAATTTATCAAATCAATTTCAACACATCGGCTGAAGCGGGCACAAGCCACAATAGACGAATCTTGCACAAAACCAATTTACTCTTATGGCTTTGGTATAAAAATATAACAATTATAATAAAAAGTGTGCGTTGAATTGAATTGCTTTGCTGCTCAAGTGATTTACAGCTACAAAAGCACAGCTGTCGCATTGTTACAGCAATGCCACCTGGGTGCAATCAATCAGAGAGCTGAAAGCTCTTAAAGTGCATAAGCGGCTCATTAGATGTGAATGCCACAAAAACGACTCAGAGTTGTTGCTCCATGGAAATGAGGATGATCTCTGAATGGTTGAAATGAAGCAAGCAAAGGATTTGCGCGAGAAAATACAATATACATTTGTATATTTGTCTGTGTGTGTGTGTGTGTGTGTGTGTGTGTGTGTGTGTGTGTGTGTGTGTGCGACATTGCACTTAAGTTGTTTGGCGCCTAGCTAGACCATAACTTATCCTTCATGCGCGGACGCCCCGAAAAGTAGGCAATGAAATTTGTTTTATGTGGCAATTGCTGACAAGCGCAGCGGCCATTAGGCAAACAGCCAACACATCCAAGATATCCAAGACATCCAAGACAGCTAAAGCAGACAGTTAGTCAGTTGTTCATTTGATTAAACAATAGGCTGGTATAGTTGGGGGCGTGACTGTGGCAACTGTCAGGACCAACAATTTAATTGAAAGGTGAAAGGCGGGCCAAAGAACTCGTGACCGATTTCAGGCAGTGTTCGCTTGATGGAGGCTGGCAGCCATTAAAAAGAGCTCAAGAACTGGCTAAATCCAGGCAGGCGGCAGTTTAACTGAAATGCGCATAATGGGCAATGGCACCGTAATCGATTTGGATTTGAGTTAACCAATTCTATGTAATAGCCTCGGTTACCTCGGTTTCTGGCATCGCATTGACTCGATTTTGTTTGCTGCTTCGACAGCAGCCCCTTGCGGTCTGGCCTAATGCTCGCTAAGCGCATTAACAAAAACCAGCCATCGAAGAAAACAAATAACAAAACTTTGAGCTGCAACTTTTTGCAACATATCCTGGTACGGGTTTGAAGGGCGAGGGCGAGGGCGAGGGCGCTGGCAAATAATAACTCAAGCCCGACTTAGTTGTGTATGTGGCCCGCCCATATACCCGATTCCCCAGACGCTGGCTATTTATTATATTTATAAAAAAAACGCATTAACTCGGTTTTACAGTTGCGACAGTCGACGGGCCAGAAGGAAGGCAGGCGGGGTACCGTGCATAAAAACAATCAAAATCCCCACGACAAAATGTGTCCCCGAAACGCATTTTGCTTAAATTGTTTCATAATTGATTGATGTGCTCTAGCTAACACACAGACACAGAGAGAGACAGAAATACAGACACACTCAAAAACACAGATAGACATGGCCACAGATACAATCAGTCTGGTATATAGATACGTTATGGGGCAGGACGAGGAAGGACATGTGGGCAGCTTAGGCGCTGCGTTGATTGTTTTTGGGGTTTCGGTTTTTGGCTCTTGCCAAGCAACTGCCAGTTGGTATCGTGTGTATGTCTGTCTGTCCGTCCGTCTGTCTATGTCCTGGTTTTTTTTGGCCCAGCTGCCAACCACAGAACATTTGCTGCTCGCTGTGTGTGATGTCAAAATAATTTCGATGACGCCCACACAACAACAGTCAAATGTATAGGTTACAAAAGGTGGGTGTGCGATTGAGGGTTGGGGAAGGGGTGGATGGTGGGGGGTGGTTGGTTGCCAGGAGTGTCAGGGTCGAAGTTGAGTTATTTAGACAGATTTTTGATAGCCTGAGCCTTTTGCTAGCGAAGCGTGCCTGAAATTGAGTTTTGATTTGAAACCCAATTTCACATAATGCGATGCGCGACCGTTGACACTGCCGCCAAATGTTGATGTCGACGTCGACAATTCGATTGATTTAACACAGCACAGTATATAAAGTAAGTAATGTATGTGTGTGTGTGTGTGTGTGTGTGTGGGTTCGCTGGCTCCTCTGGCAGCCGGAAATCACTTGCTGCTTTTGATGTTCCCTTGCGTTTGACTTGGTTTACTTAATGTAGCCAAAATGCTGACAGTCGCTAACAGTCGATGTGTGTTCCGCTCTGTGCGTGTCTGTGTGTGTGTGTGTGTGTGTGTGTGAGTATGTGGCTTTGTGGTCGTGCCTGCCCCTTTCTTATGTGTGCGTGATCATTGCTGCATGACGTCACACTCACACACTCACACACTCACACACACACACACACATTGAAACACTCCCACACCTTTTGATACGCTCATTAAAATGTTGTTAGACGCGTTTGCTTTATGACAGAATCTGTCCCTTCGTATTCGAGTTGTGAGTTGACAAACAGGTGGATTGCATTACTAATTTCATATTTTAAAAATGAACAAAGTCGCGTCATTAATCAGATCGCACTGCCATTTAATATATACCAAACAGTCCTGCATTTCATTAAGCAAACCTCCACAGCTTTTAACTTTTAGTTTATCTTCTTTTTTCAATTACAATCTGTGCAGCCATTGGGGTGGAAATTAATCGATAACAATATAGATAGATATTTTGAAGCCACTGTCCATGGATATTTTCACACTTTCGTTGCTGGCAATCGGGTAAAAATCAATAAAATGTGCAATCAGCTTTTGATGAACACTTAAAGCCATAATGCCAGCCTTTAAGCATTTTGTGAAAGAAAAGCGAAGAAACTCGATTATCACATCGTCCGAATATTTAAGGATTCATTTAAGATAATAATTTTGGTGGTTTGGCTAAATTACTATTACAATTGTGTTAGACACGCATATTTTAAGTGGTTTCTCACAAAATTAACCGACACTAATTTGTAATTAAAAATTGTCGGAATAAAAGAAAATTGTAAAAATATATCTAAAGAGCTGCAGAACACAAGTTCTTTCAACATATTAGATACGAAACAGCCACGAACTTGGGATGATTGGGAAACGTCAAGCTCAAAAGGTGGTGCAATAGAGTTCATAAGATCACATAACCTATCAACCTGTCAACGGAATTCCGTGGAAGGCATGAGTTTCTATAGAATTTGTCTAGCTCCACAAGATGTTAATCTTAAAATATCAAGACAAATTGATGCTAGAAGAGAAAAAAAAAACATGTGGTTCAATGGACAATTCAGTTACATAAATAAGTAGGCTGCCAGTTGCAAAGTTCGTTTCGTGTTGTAATTTCCATTGGCATTTACGACCTACAACAGAATTTACATGCCAAAAACTGACAACGGCAACGACTGACTGAAGAAGTATGCAAGAAAGAGACCGAAATATGGAGTGCGAGGGAGCGACTGGGAATGTGGTAAATTAATGACATTTTACATACATCTTAATTGCGTGCGTCTCTCTTGCTTTTGTTGTCGCATCCTTCAGGCCAATTGGCCTGGCCTGGCCTGGCCTGGCCTAAAGAGCCTGTCGACGCTCTCTGCGCCTGTCAGCCAAATTGCTTAGCCCTCGAGCTGCTTATAATTTATTGAAATCGCGGCGCGTGAATGTGGGCCGGCAGATAGCAGACAGCAGCAGACAGCAGCAGACAGTAGCAGAAACAGGCCTACAACCAAACACCACGCCCAGAACCATACCACAGGACGCCGCCTCCATTGCCGCCCTGCAGTTCAGTCGCCAATTGGGGGAAATTGCAAAATCAACGCGTTCGCAAATTGAAAAATGTTGTCAAGCGGGCGGATATCGACAAAAAACAAAACCAAGGAAACACAACAACAGCAGGAACAACAAGAGAACAACAAGGAGAATAAACAGCTAGTACAACAAACGCAGCAAAAACGGAAGAAAAAAAAACAAAAACAAAAATAAAAATAGACGATGCTTGGCCCTTGCCGCCAGTTGACAGTTTGTTAATTAAAAGCAGCAGCAGGCGGGCAGACAGCGGTCAACTAGTCATCCAGTCAGCCGGTCATCTGTCCACTGAGGCGTGTTCAGTCAACGTCTCAAACGCACACACCAAGTCCCTTATGCCTACCCTCCCCCCACCAAAGGCAGGGTATACAGAGGAGCTATGCTGGACTGAATCCTGATGCGGAGAGTTCTGCAGTTGGCAGACGGAAAACGTCAGCTGAGTGCTAATAAATTGTACAACTGTGTTTACTCAATGTGGAATGAGGTAAAGCAATGGATAGAAGGATAGGGGGATCGGAGAATAGGAGGGGGGGATGGGGCAAGGAGCTATTGCTCCCGAGTGCTGCACTCACCTATCGTTGTAATTAATGTCAGGGAGTAGAGAAAGGCCGAGGCATAGGTCCATTTGTGAGTCGGTGCATTCATTTGTACGCCACCAGGTTGATAAACCTTCGATTGGCGCACCGCACGCAGCAGAGTGTCCTGCAAGATTGAAGATGAAGAACCAATTGACAATACAAAAACACAATCAATAAGGCATTTGTATTTGCTGTGCACAGTACACACACACACACACACACACACACACACACACACACACACACACACACACACACACACACACACACACACACACACACACACACACACAGACGCACACTCACACAGATACGCACCTGAAATAATTGGACCTCCTGTGCCGCGAGACGTGTCCAGTTCTCCTTGTAGAGTATATTGAGATCCTCCGTTATGGACCACAGTCGATCAACGGTTCTGTAATCGATAATTAAATGAAACTTCTAAAATGATACGATGAAGATTCGTCGACGGACACTTACCGGGAACGTATCTCTGCATTCGCCAGCTCGGTGCGTGGATATGGCTTGGAAGCGGCCACAGCTGTTTCCAGTGCAGTCGCATCTTCAAGCTCGCCCTCGAGCGTTACGAATATTATCGAGCCCATGGCCGTGTACAGCAGTACCAACAGCAGTACACCTGAGAGGCGAGATTGGCAGACAGATAGAGTTGTATTATTTGAATATATATTATATATATTTCTCATTTGATTAATATATTTTGTTAACTCGAATCCTATCTTTACTGGCAACTGGCAACACAGAATTGTAATGTTTATATTTGACTTGTTTTCAGTTTTTAATATAAATACATATTAATGGCTATGGAACTTAATGTTTGTACTACTTCAATTTTGTAGCTTTGTGTGTTGATTTGCTTTGCGTGTTTCGCAATTGAATTAAAGTTCGTAGTAGAGAAATATCTGGATTATGTTGTTGAGGTCGATTGGATGGTTATATCTTAAGCCATGTGATATCATAGGGCTTGTAGGCGGGAGTCGGTCTAAAGTGTACTAAAGTGGCTAGAACAGAGACTTTCTGTGAGCTGAGCTCAAACATGACACATCTGAATAGTAATTTAATTGCTTTAAACCCTGTCCGCCACACATAAATCTTTGTCCCACTTCAACTATAGTCATGCAGTTGCACAGGCACCACTCTGCCACTTGTCGATTGTGCTGGCACTTGTGGCTGTTATTGAATCAATCGAGGTTACAATTGGGTGCAGTGCAGCGGACACTTAAATTACGACAGTCACTCACCTGTCGCTGATATGCAATGCGATTTGGGCGCCCTTTGGCAGCCACAGAGGATGCTGCTGATGATGCTGTTGCCGTTGCCATTGCCGTTGCCATCCCTCTGTTTATCCGCCTTCGATGCGGATGAAGTGGTACCATTTCCGCCCACTGCACTGGATGAATTGCTAGCGCCCTGGGCGCCATTTGTAGCACCGCTTGCAAAACACATGCTTGAGCCGCTCTGCCGACCAATACGTGAACTGCTCCCGGCCACGTTGTTGCCAGTTGCTGTTGTTGCGCAGTTGCTGATATTGCTGATGTTGCTGATGTTACCGTTGTCACTGCTGAGAAAGGAGGCCAGCGGCATTGATGGCTTTTTGTTCATTGTATCTGTTGGTTGGACAATATTAAAGCTGCTTCCGTTGCTTCCGTTGCTCCCGTTGCTTCTGCAGTCAATCAATCAATCAATCAGGTAATGCGTGGCAAATGACCAAATGAGCAAATGACTAAATGAGCAAATGGCTGAATGAGCAGCGGATTGCAATCAAATCAAAAGCTTTGGTGCGTCATGTGGCACGTAATTTGCATACGCCGCCTTCTGTCCGTTGAGCGTTTAGATTTTTTTCGCTTCACGTTATTATGTGACCGTCATAAAATGTTGTCGACAGCAATGAAAATGTTCCTGTTGTTGTTCTTGTTGTTGTTGCAGCTGTTCTTCTTCTTCTTGTTGCTGCTATTGTTGTTGTTGTTGTTGTTGTTTTATGATGCTCGGAAATGTTTTCGGGCGCTGTGACACAAATTGTCGCCGGATGCTGCAAATGCAAAATATTTTCGTGAAAAACTGGCGAAATGGAAATGCAAATTGCGATTCTAGGCACACACACACACACACACACGCACACACACATACATGGTGTGGACGAATTTCAAGGCAAACGCTGCGTAATTGAGTTACCAACAAGAAGGGGAAGTAATTTCAGCTGCTGCCATATTAAATCGATACATTGAATACTCTAAGACTAAGTTCCGTGATAAACCGTAGCAAAAAGTGTGCGATTTCTGGCATTTTATTGAACAAGTGTGGTATTTTGGTGACTTTAATTAATTTATGAAACAGTGCCGAATTCTAATTCAATTAGGTCAGTGTCTAATTCGCTGTCTTAGCAAATCTACTGTCATAGTATATGTGCCCACTGCGAGAGAGTGTATAGAACAACAGCAGCAGGAACAATGCTTGTGGATCATTCTGTACGTGTGTGTGTGTGTTTGTGTGTGTGTGTGTATGTGTGTGTGTGTGTGTGTGTGTGTGTTTGTGTGTGTGTGTGTATGTGCCGTGGGTGTTGCTGTCGCATAATCTGATAAACGTGAAGATGGCCGACATTTAAATTAAAGATTGTCCGCCAAGCACACAAAGTTGTTGAGTTGCAGAGTTGACAACGAGCTGCTGTTGTTGATGCTGTACTTGCTGTTGTTCCTTGTTGGTGCTGTTGCTGCTGTTGCTGCTGTTGTTGCTGCTGTTGTTGCTGCTGTTGCTGAGCACGTGTGTTGTCATGTTCATTTATTCAATGGGACTTCAATTAGGACCCAGTTAACATTTTGTTGTTATTTGTTTTGCTTATGTTATGACTTTCATTTTTGCTGGCTAAGCCTCAATGCTAATTACGAAAGCCTGCCGCATAATCACGTCACGTTTTCCACACAACCAAGCACACTCACCCACACCCACACCCATACACACTCACACACACACACACACACTCACGAACGCACACTCACTAAACGGGTTATTGCAAAAGCTTACGCAAACAGTCAGATGGGCAGTAATAGAGACAAAAACAGAGACAGGCGCAGTGAGAGAGAGACAGAGAGAGAGAGAGAGAGAGAAAAACAGATTATGGCTACAATGAGACAACTTAAATTAATCAAACGAATTAACAGCAATCAAATATATTTTATTTACAACCGCACACATTTAATACATTTGAATATTGAATATTAAAATGTACTGAATATTAAAATGTGTAATTGTAATACAATAATATGTAAGCACACAATAATTCATTAATTATTACGACTTTATTAAACATGTTTACGTAAATATTATGGAAATGTGGATATAATATGTAAATAGACATGAACAAAACTTTAGAACTTTAAAGCTCAAAGGCAAAGATTAAATTACAGAAAATGTAGACGACTTCAACAGCATGTGTTTCGCAGTCCAATCTTTAGAATCTACACCACACAGGGTCTACAACAGTTGGAGTTGAGTTTGATGTGTTAAATTTCCAAGAAATTAAATTGTTTGAAAATAAATTACATGTAACACCACTTTTATGTCAAGAATCCAATGAAAATTTACAACAAGAGTATAATGATTTGTGCAAGTGTCTGTTACATAACTCGAATATCGATAGATTTCTCTCACAGAGTATTTTCTTTCTGTTTTTGTATTTGTGTGTATTCCATAGTGTCTCGTTATCTACATAGGCAAATCAGTGATTTTGGTACGGTCTTGTGAATTAATATATGAGCGCAATTATTTGTTGTTTACTCCTTAATACCTTAATTAAAAAAATCGAGAAATTCCAAGCCAAGAATATATCGAATATATCTAACAGCTGGCTGCAGGGTATATCGTAGTTGGGCTAACTCGATTATAGCGTTCTTACTTGTAGAAAGCATGTATTTCATATGAAATTTTGGTAAATGTATTCCTATTTAAGTATTAACTTTCCTTCACACTGGAAACAGCGTCAGCTGCAGTAAGCTCTAATACCCATGACAAATCGTCGAGTACACGCTCGTGTGACTGACTGAGTGACTGAGTGACTGACTGACTGTGAGTCGATGCGACTTGCCACTTTGCTTAGCATATGCGAACACATCTGTCAATCGTATGCGCTCAGCCAGAAATTGTCTCCGCCATATTCACTCATAATATTGTTGATATTTTTACTTTCTTTGCTTTCTGTTAAATCGCTTCGCTTCGATGCCTGTATGTGTGTCTGTCTGTCTGGCTGTCTGTCTGTCTGTCAGGCTAAATGCTTGTCTGCCATAATCCTTAGCATGGCATAGGAATTGAGAGCGCGCTGACAAATTCCATCGATTTTATAAATGAGCACCTTCGTGCAAACATTTTCATTTCAATTTCACATTCGCTCACGCTCAGGGCTCAGGGCTCAGGGCTCAGTCTGAGGCTCAGGCTTAGAGCCTCAACTTAATACGAAGTCGCTCGAGTATTTGCAATTGGCCATGTGGGCCATATTGCGGCGACTGCTGCCCTCATATGTCAGTGGTTGCGCGCTTAATCACGCCCATTGCCCAATTCACTGCACCCACCCCTTACACCGCCCCCTTGTCTTCCTCATGCATACAAAGTGCTCGGTCTGACACTCGATACACATACATCGCACCTTTTTAATTGCTGACATTTATTGAACGTTCGCCTTGTGTTAAATCTACCGTAAGCACACAGCAGAAAGCACATGAATGCTCAATGTGTGTGTGTGTGTGTGTGTGTGTGTTGTATATGTATATATATCTCGTGTGTGTGTGTGTGCCTTTGACTTAAGTGCAAGCTTATGCCAATTATGTGCAGCTTTTGCCTGCTGTATGGCGCTTTCCCTTTGCCACACAGTTCAGCATTGAGGGAAAGCCCTGAGAGAAAGCGACAGAGAGAGAGAGAGAGAGAGAGAGAGAGCGAGGGGAAATAGAGTAAAAAGAACTCGAGCAGATTACATGGATCATTAGCTCAGGTGAAAAAGTTCACAAGCTCTTTTCTTCACACTAAACACTACGTCCAGCACTTAATCAAATGCAAGAACATGGTATGAAATTCATCCAAGCAACTGCAGCTGCTCCTTACGTCCATCCTTACACTCTGTCTCTCAGTCTCTCAGTCTCCCTGTCACTCTGTCTGCCTGTTTGTATGTTTGTGCGTCTGTCGGTGAGGTCGTGAGTCGTTTGTCAAGACAGACGTTGATGCTGGCATTCTCTGAATTCCGAAGGCATCGCAATATTCCTGATTGAACCCGAAACTTACTTAAGCAGAACGCACATGTGTATTTATAAGTAAGTATTTACGGAATTTTGATTGCAAGTTGCAACTGATTTGGCCCACATGGCAAATCAAATGGAGCGACTACTAACAGCATCTTCTTTTACTTTCCCTCTCTCTTTCTCTCTCTCTCTCTCTCTTCCTTTTCGAATCTGTGGCTGTGGCTATGGATAATGTGAAAATTGCGGCAATTTTAGTAATTGCATAGCGTTGTTAGTTTGTTTGCTTTTGCCGTGATAGTCAGTAGCTGGCCAAGTTACATATACGCAACGTGTGCCACAAAGAATCATTCGCCTTTAAATCGGAGGCCAGATAAAACAGACCATTAACAGGTGGAAATGACAGGAAGAAGTGAGATGGGTGGGAAGTGGAAGTGACAGTGGTAGGAATGGGAAGGATTTGCGTACAGTAAGTTTAATCCAAAGGAAACATCCATTTCGCAGTTGGTGCGTTCTTGGCAACCTTGCTGCACAATTAAACTGCAAATCACGCCTCAGATTTTGTAAAAGGCATCCAACATTCGGCAACTGCAAAAGCAACAGTAATAAGACCAGCAACAAAAGCACCAAAGAGCGTTGGCAGCCACACAAAAAGCAATTGCAAAATGTCAGAAAAACTGGAGCATTGCCAAAGGCTAGCCAGAAACTAAACCTAAAGCCAAGCCAAGCCAAGCCACCAAAACCAAAGCAAACCAAGCCGAACCCGACGAAAACAAGGCTTACAAGCCCTCAGGTCAAATTTCCAAATGGGGCGAAAGAGTTTGCTGCCAGATGCGGGTACAGATGCAGTTGCAGATGCAGATGCAGATGCAGTTGCGGACGCTGATGCGGATTAAGCAGATGAGCCACAAAACCGACTGCAATTGGAACATAGCTATTGCTGTCAGTGAATAACAGAGAGAGGAATTAGGTGGACAAGGGAAACAGCTACGATCTGTGCTTCACAGGGAAGGCACGATAAACAACTTATAAAAAGATGGTGCAAAGTATATACAATAACGGATGCAGATCATCTATAAACAACATAAAGATCAATACGCAAAATACGCTTAGAACACAAGAGGGAACAGCTGTGGTAGGCAGCCCAGAGGATTAAAACTGCTGCAGACCGGAGTCAACGCACTTGATAGGTTGCTCGGAAAGTTTGCAAAAAAAAATAAAACAAAAAATAAACGCTTCAGCAAAGCAAAAGAAATAACTCAAATTGTGCCAAATTTTAGTAAGTGCAAGCAAAGAATACAGCAAAACTAACAGAGTGAAAAGCTTCCACAAACTGTTGATCTAAGTCACACTTTCAAGTAAAAGGGTTCATTACATACACACAGCGGAAAGAAAGCCGAGTCCCAGAGATGTTTGCTAAAAGGAAAGCGTATAAGGCAGAGTGTGAGAGAGAGAGAGAGAGAGAGAGAGAGAGAGAGAGAGAGAGAGAGAGAGCGTGATTTGTTGCAGTAATGAAGCAAAGTTTACACACTCGTACTTCACAAGAGATGGATGGAAATGAAAGGTGATGGGGAAAGGAAGGGGGCTGGGTCAAATTTGGTCTGGCTGGCCTGGTGTACAAATTATGACTTCAAAGATGATACCGACAACTGAAAAGCTATCACCAGCTACGAGCTATGCATGTCTAATTCTCCTTACATAAGTCAGCCCAATTGTGCAACCCTGCCGTTGCTATGCCCCTACGCCGCACTTATCCAGCTGCAGGGGCACGACACGCCGCACTGGTCAACAATAACTTGAAAACCCTCACAAT